GTTGGCGAAATAAAGAAAATGTCAGTGTAAAATAAAGAGCAACAATTTACAAGTCTAATACTCCTTTAAGTGGTCAATATTTGATATAGATAAGAATGATTTTTTCCAATTTAAAAAAAAATCATTTTTAATTACACCAAATATTTGTTTATATATTACAAACCATCTAAAGTATACAAATGTGTTCTAAATTACACAAACTATTATATAATATATGGTGATATACACCAACTATATATAAACATGTTAAAAACTACAAATTTGTGTTTTTTTTATAAATATTTATTAATTTATGGTCAATTTGTAATTATTTTTATATAAATATAAAAAATCCAAAAAAAAATAAAAGAGGAAATCACTGATTCATTGGTAATATAATTTCTTTAAAAACGACATAATCATTAATCATCTTTGAGACTCACCGTTAAGGATCATTAATGAGTGACCGGACAAATCAGACAAACCTTAACATTTCCACTAACGTCCACGTCTTCGTATTAACATATTATTGTGTTTTTTTAATCGTCTAAAATTATAAATTAATACAAATTATAGTATTGTATAATCGTTCCTATAATTAATCTCATAATTTATATTAATTCATAGTATTGTTTATTTATATTTTAATATTATTGGTTTTAGTAACTGGTAATAATCTTTTACCAAAACGGTAAAGGATGCATCGTTTATTTTGTTACCAAAATGGTTTATTTTGCTACCAAAATGTAGGGGTGAATTATTATCTGGGATCCGAGAACCGATCCGTTATCTGTTCGGAATCGCTCCGAAAATTAGGATATCCGGAGAGTCCGAATCTGGATAAGAATAATAAAATTTAAGATCCGTGAAAAGAGGATCCGGATTCGGATAACAAAATTTTAAGGTCCGGATATCCGGATCCGGATCTGGACGCATTTAATATTAAAAACATATATATTATATATCTATTAAGCTAATTTTATATAAATAAATATATATAAAAATTGATTTTAGTTTTTTTTATAATAAATTATATTTATAATGAAAAATATCATTTAAAATATTAATTAATAATTTTTAAAAAAATATTTTTATTTATTTATTAATTATTTTAATTATTTTTAATATTAATTTCGGATCCGGATCCGGATATCCGCGGATATCCGTTTTTTTGGCCGGATATCCATAGTCCGGATATCCGGAGGTCCCGATTCTGGATCCGAATAGGATTTTTCATGGATTCGACGATTTCGGATTCGGATACCTTGAAATTTCAGGATATCCGGATCCGTTCCACCCCTACCAAAATGGAATTTTATTTTTGACAAAAAAACGAAGAAGTACTGTTTTTTGTCACTTTATTAGTTTAGTTTTTAAATGTCTTTAGCTATTTTTTCTATTATTAGAAACGTTTTGCCGTTTTATGTCTCTAATCGGATTTCTTAGTGAATCTTACCTGGCTAGTATCATTATTTTACCGTATATTATTACTATAATCGGTGAATCTTACATGTGGTTGATATTATTCTTAATTCCTTATTACGAAATCCTTGCTTTTATTGGGCCTCTGGTTTAAAGACTTATGCCAGTTTAAGTACTAGGCTTTCAAGATTAGGCCCATTCAAATATAGGTATTTTAATGGCCTCGTTACAAAATTTTCACTTGTATTTTACTAATTTCCGTTTGTGTTTTGTTTTTTAGAATTTCGTAAAGAGAATGCTAAAAAGCCAAAGAAAGAAACAATAACAAGAGTCAATTTGTGGAATAACCAAAAAAAATTATAATTCAAAGACTAACTAAATGGGT